TCTTTTGTGTGCGAAGTATTAGGGATATGATAGTGATGGAAATAGAACAGTCCCCATCCTCAGCTGAGCTTAAAGTTTTATACTATTCCATCCGTTATTCCTGTACTTTAATTTCCATTGAACTGTTCCATGTTTCCTTAAACATGCCAGGCATTTTCATATGTCTGTACCTGGGTGATGCTATTGTTGGAATTTGCTGTGTTATTTTGCCTACCTTTAAGGCTTTCATCATATCACCTCTGGGATGTTTTCTTTCATTTCTCTACACAGAATTAATCATTCCGTATTCTCTGTGTCTTAAAACTTTGTTTAATCCAATCTAGTGAGAGGACAAACAGACTAATAAATAGATTCTAAAATGAAGGTAGTGTATCAGTAGAGCAGAGGCACAGAGAAGAGCACGACAGAGTTTTTAACATAACATGAAAACTACCTGACTTCCCCACCAGAGTGAGTGCTGTTAGAGAGGGGACCATGTCTCTGTGTCTTCATTACCCAGGAGGATCTGGTACATCGCTAGTGCTCCATGCTTGTTGAAATGTGTTATTGTACTCTCCTTTCAGTAGTCTCAAGGTACTTTTAAATATTTAAATCAGTGGTACACATTTGTTTGATTACGTTATTCAGAAGTTGAATCTTAGTCTGAATAGAGATAATTACCATCCTTTTAAGGGCAGATGGTATTGGAAATAAGGGGTTGGAACTAGACTATTTTGGCATTATTATACAATATCAATATTTGTTTTTGGGGACTTTTGAATCTTATTAGAGATTTCAATTTCATGTCCTAAAGGACTATGTTTCCATGTTGCTTTTCTTTGTGTGCTTGCTTAGTGTATTGCATATAATAGATGCTCAATGAATAATATGTGCTTTCCTTTACAATTTGAGTTCCCATCTTTATAGTGCAAAGTCATACTGAATAAGACCTTATAGGCTCCCAAGTACTACATGTTGTCTATTCCTTTGTTCTTTACTCATACTGACCCATATTCCTGGGCTATCTTTCTGTCTCCATTCTACCTTCCCATCCCCTGTTTCTCCTTCCCTCTGCCTCCTGCAGCAAACTCCTAATCCTTCTTTAAGTGTCAGTTCAAATATTGCCTCCTCAGGGAAGCATTCCCTGTCACTCTCAGTAGACATAAGTGTTTTTCCCTTCAAGCAGCTATGGCTCACATCACACAATTCCCAGTCTAGTAACTAGTTCCTCATACCACCCAACTCATCTCTCTTGAGAGAGGGACTGCTCTTTTGAGAGCAGGGACTGACTTTCTTTATTTGAGGCTAAACAATACATAGAGAATGTTGACATATGGTAAGTACACGATAAACATTTGATGAATGAACAACAATAATGGCTAACATTTATTGAGTATATTGTCCTTAGCATCTTAACATGCAGAGTTAGTCATATGAGGTGGATTCCTTATTATATTATAATAGTTCTTTGGTAGGTAAGCTGGTTTAATGAGTGCTGATGGATCATGCTAGCAATTCAAGAAATGTATCTGACATACCTCTGAACCATAGGATGGCTTTTCTTCTAGGCAGGCTTTCTTAACAGGTTACTGTTTTTCACAGGATGAAATGGATTCTGCTCAGTTCAGTAATTCTGTTAAGACCTGAAGTTACTACTTCTCTGGTGATTTAGGGTAGCTACACTACAAATACATGCCCAGGGTGGTTATGGTCATGAACTTTGTCAAAAGCATCATTCAGAGAAGCATTTTTTATGTACAATTTTCCTGAAAGAGATGCAGCCCACCCATTTCTCTAAAATGCATTCATGGATTAAGTCAGATTAAGAGACTATACTTGAATTACATGTACCGTGACCCTTAGAATTGGTTTTACTGAATTGGCCTTTGAAGTGATGTTGTCAGACTATATTAATAGATACCTTATAGTTTCATAAAACTAATCTCATTCTATCTATTGCAAGGATACAGTGTCTTCAGGACATTATTATATAAGACAATTTTCCTTTTATAAATCTTGTAGGAAGAAATGTTTTTCTGATTTTTGTATTAGAAACAATTGTGTTTTTCCTGTGCAATTAGCTTGCTTTTTCCTTATGGGCACTGTGAATTGTATAACTGATTAGGCTTACTTTTTTTGCCTAGGGTCATAGAGTAGATACAAGTCTGTGATGTGACTATTGCAATTATATGGAACTTAACCATACATTTCAATATTAGCTTCATTCATAGCTCCTTTATATTTCCTTATCCTTATTTCTTTCTCTTTTTTTCCTTCTTTCTGTCTTTCTTTCAAATTATCGTGTCTTCCTCATTTGCATTATCTGTATTCTTTCAAGTTACCTTACGTCATTTTTGAAACTAGATTAAGTATATATATACACACAAATATACATATCAATGTAAATGCCTAAAATAAATTTAGATTAAAAAAAGTTAGACCTAT